GTCTTTTGTTATAGATAAACAAGATTTAATGAATTCAGATCTCAGAGGAAAACTAATTGCCATAATTATATATCATGGATCATGAAAATATGATAAACATGAAACTCACCAAAAACGCAATATGCTGACTCAAGTAGACTAGAATCAGAGCGATATGAAAAGGAGGTTATATATCTATGCCAGAAATATTATTACAAAGTAAAGAAATAAAGCCTAAGATGTGGAAAAAATTTCATCAATTCCTCCCATAAGACTCTGATCAAAGCTTCTTCTTTTTGATATATTATAACAGCATAGAAGCAGTGTGTCCAAGTTGATGAGGAGTAATATTAGTCGAAGAGGCAGTCCTTCTTCACTCCTGGGTGTCATCGAGCTCATCTTGGTTAGCTTTAAAAGATGAGAGAGAAAGGTGATGCAGAGAGAGACACAAACTCGAGGGAGGGGAGAGAGAGCGCACTGCCAGATCATCTTTTGCTATTGTGGGTTAACGGCGTTTGCAACATTAGTGACAGAAGGACTTGTAAATTTAACAAAATTAACTACAAGGATTCAATAAAAAGAAATAAAACTATAAGGATCTAATTCAAAATCTGATCAAATTATAAGGACCTATAAATGTATTTTCCCTTCATCTTTTATTCTTTTTTTTTTTTGAAGTTTTTAAATCAAATCATTTCACCAAATTTTTTCGCCTCCACTCATTCTTATTGCATTGTTCCATGAAATTTATATATCATTAATGACAATAGTATTATTTGTTGGATTTTTCCTCACTCGCCTCTATTTTCACTACCATGCATTAATATGTGGCTGAAGCTGACAGTATATATTTTTCATAATAAATAAATAGTCAATTAATAACTTTTTTTTCCAGGTCATAAATATTTTTTTCATTGAAGACAAGTTGGATATTAAACGTGAAAATTATTCTCAATCCATTCAAAACTTGGCTTGATCCAAAAAAGTGAACACTTGTAGTGTAACGGTGGTGTAAGATAATCTGTGACCCATCCTTGAAAGGCTATGGTTTTTTTCTCCCTTGCCAATAAGCAAGACTTTCTGTGAACTCAGACCCAAGGGTAAGGATCTGTTTGGCACGCGGTACTGAAGAAGGGCTGGCACCTGCACTGCGGTTTGAGGTAATGGATGAATACTAAAAAGGGTATTTGCATTGATTGAACCAATTCAGGGTATGTACTATTCAAAAATCTTTTTTTTTTTTTGGGTATTTGATTAAGATTTTTCTTTTGAAGTTTACAGCGCAAAGAATTTTAGCCTCTCCCGATAGTAAGAAGCCATCCTATTCAAAGCGTCTAAATTGTATGGTTTGTTATAAGGGTTAATTTATTGAGTTAAATAAACAATTTTTGATATTTGTTGGCAATGCATACTATATTCAACTGGCGTGTTGTAAATATTTATTATAAAGGAACGAATAAAACAGTTTTTAACTTTAATTTACCATCACAAATAATATTGGTATAATCTTGGAATGACGAAAAAGGTTTTGTGACCATAAATATTTTGGGTTTACACTTTTTACATTGCGCTAGTGAGGATAGGAAACGTAATACTATTTAATTTAATTTATAATCAAATGATAAGAGATAATCTTCAAAAGGTATTTGAGATATTCCAAAGCCACTTAAAAAAATATTTTCATGCAAGTGGAGACAAAATTATTCTCACATATTTATTTTATATATCATAAAATTATTTTTAAAATCATGATTTAATTTTCACCTAAATACTCCTAAACTTATTGTTTCAACATCTGCGTTATCATGTAAATAGCTGGAGGAAAAAGCGGGGTTAGCGAGAAATGTTCGCTTTTTAATTATCTATAAATTCAGATTTAAGTCATGCCCGCGTTAAAACAAAAGAAGCTTTTTCAACATAATTTTTTTTCTCCTGAATGGTTATATATAATTACCAACAGTTACCAAATTAAAAACACATTCCCTCAATTTTACTTGCACGTCATTAATTATTTTTATTCGAGGCTCATATATTTCCGCCATACGGAAAATATGGAGGCACGATCGTGTAGCTCACCCCATCGGAGACCATGACTGGTGGTGGAGTTTTGGAGCAGAGTTTGGAGCTTTGTTCTTTCTTTTTTTCGGTACACAAATTTTAGAAAAGGAGTTGGGCTCACCCATGATCTAAGAATAAGATACCTAATGCTTGATCAACTGGGACCTGTCCCTGCAGGCACAGAAGTATGACAAGCAAACCTTTTTTTTTCCCCAATAAATAGGAATCTCCTAACTTCACTACGTTATGGTGATATCTCTCTCAGCGTCGTGATTTGAGCCACAACAAAGTGGCACTCTCTAAGATCAAACCTCCTCTCTTTGACAAGAGAGTTTGACTCCTTCACTGGCTGAACTCACGAACAAGGGGTAGCTTTGTTCATCTTCTTTAATCTTTACCCTTCCAAACTGACAAAAACGATTTGTGGCTTCTTTTAGCTTTCAGAACAGAGGCAAACAAAAGGGTCGTTATGGACCATCAAGGTGTAATCGTTGGCTCGCTTATCTCAAAGCCCAACTCTCCGGGCTTTAGGCCCAATCCATGAAACCTCACAGCAGGCCCAATAACACTCCCCATATCAGCTAACATTAATTCCGACATTACTGAGTATTACTTTTGTAGGGAGGGGAAGCTATGAATTCCGAACCGGATTAACCCGATTATAATATTAAAAAAATGTGGGTAGGACAGATGTTAAAGTGTTTAATAATATTTACAGGTTTGTATTTTCTCTGCTAATAGTTTCCTTGTGTCAAATCAAGCCAATTACATCTCAACACATCCAAATATTGAAGTGTTCAAAGTTTTGCTGATTAACAAAAACAAGGCAAAAAAAGTGCTCATTGGATTCTAACTGTATCCAATCTATTCATACATGTTAGCCCAACCCTTTGGAAGGCCTGTCTTCACTGGCCCAAATTTCTGTTGGACTTTTAAAATGGCCCATGGAGTTCCAAACTTCCTCCCACTGTTGGACTGCCAAGGCATTAGGCAGTCCATTCCTTTTTCTTCCCTAATAAAAATGATAATGCTAAGGCATTTTATTCTTTTTTTATTTATTTAAATACAATTAAACACATGCCAAATTTGAATTTGAAACCTTATCCAAGCGCAGTAGGTTGCGCTATTATTAAGGCAACTTTTATTATATACAAGATTTAGACCCGTTATACGGAGTTACGCATTTTCAACTAAAAAAAAAAGAATTAAATACTACTGTTCTAAAAAAATTGTCAGTTGTTTTCTTAATGATCATCACGGTTCAAGTGCGTTTGAAACATTAAATTCTCCAATTAAGGTAATTGTCAGCTAAAAATTGTCTTTTGTTTAGGATTAGATGGACTAAACCAGTCTAAACACAACACACAAACGTTGCACCCGCGGAAATTAGTCGGAGATGAATTAAAAAAAAATTGCAACCAGGCCCTCAAATTGACATTAAATTAGCAACAAGACACGTAAGGTTAGGAACATGATTCACGACATTAATTAATAATTAATAATAAATTAAAAGCTTGGCGTGTGTTTGTTCAGGATTGTGTGAACTGTGAGGACCAAACCATTGAAGCAAATAGTGGAAGATTGAGTCAGCAGTATTCTGATTGGATTGTCTTTTTCTGTGAGATAAGGGTCCGCTGCCCAGCTTGGAAAGGGTCAAATTTAAAGATTATTATTAATTATTATGCGGATGCCACCATCATATCATACTCTTATTTATGCCATAATCATCACTATTAAAATATAGCAATTCATATTGGAAGCTGCATCAATTTCCGTTTGATTCCTCTTTTCTTAATTAATCTATTCTTCATTCTTCCGCCTGTGGCTTGTGTTTTAAGGCGCTTCAATTGGATTGAATTACTATTATGTCCTTTTCTTTTATTAAATTTTAATAATGATCAGTCATTAGGATGATTGTGTTGAAATCGTATTATTACGGATTCTAAACACTAAAATTCTTCACGCAACATTTCGGCCGGCCATCATCTCATAAGAATCGGGAATTGAAAGAGGATCAAAATAAGTCAACCCCGAATCTCAAATGCAAGGTTTAATCTCAGTGGTTAGTTTCTGAGAAAATTACTGAGCAGTCCTGTATAAATAATTAATTATAAAAAAAACCTCAATCAGGGAAATCAAAAACAGGTGGTATATATTTACAATTTAAAAGACTTTTTTTTACCGTTAAATTGGTTTCGTGGAATTGTAAAGTACAAATAATTTTTATCCTGTAAGAGGAACATATCTATGCTCTTTTTTTGTTATAATAAAATAATCAAATTTGTGGTGGACTATATTGTTTATAGATGATGAAGGGAATGAATTTATTTGCTTTAATATGCTACTCCTCTGGTCCTTAATATAGGATTCAATTTTAAAATTGGTTTTAGTCCTAAATATAAGACACATTTATCAATTTTTTCTAAATTACCCTTATGCATACTCTTTCAACCATAATCAAGTAGAAGAGGAGGATGGGTATTAAGAAAGATGATTATGGTGTTTTAAGAAAAATATGTCACTTTTCTTATAATTAACTAACTTACCTAACTTTTTTAATCTAATCAAATTAATTAAATAGATCTTATATTAAAGACCGGAAGAGTATCTTTATTCGGTATTAATTTATTAATAAAATGATTAATTAATACTAATTGAGAAGTTGTTCCAACGGATCAAGAGAAAGCTGAGCGCAGGGGAGCCAAGAGAGAGCGCGTAAAATGGAAGCCAGGCGATGGTGGAAGTGGAAGTGGAAGTGGGTTCCACATGCAACGTTGTGAATTTAGTTTCATTTCAATTTCATTTGCATTTCATTTCGGGGAAGATAGACACGAACGACTCTGAAAAAACAAACAAACGCTCTGAGAGGAGCCTGTGGGGCCCGCGCGTGTTGAATAATTGACTTTGACCTTCACAGAAACAGCTACGAAGAAAGAAAAATTCACACTTTCCTCTCTTCTTCATCGCTGGGGGCAGAGACAGAGAGGATAAAAGGGCAGAGGCTCCTCTCTCTCTTTCTCATTCTTCTCAATCGAGGTCTTCTCGATTTCCCTCTAGCAACTAAACAAGAGCGAAAAGGAAGAGACACTCTGATATCTTACTCTCACCCTAGTGAGGTATGCTGTATTCTCGAGCAACTTTTAGTTCTTGGTGTTCTGATTTGCTTATGTTGTTTGGGTTTTCGTGTTCTGGTTTGATCTGGGTCGGTGTTGGTGATCTCCGGGATGGGTTGTTCTGGGTGGGTACGAGGAATGAGCTTTTTCGGTCTGATTCTTGGTACAAGTTTGAAACCATCATTTGAAATTTGGTTGTGGGGGTTGCTGCTTTCGTCCCTTCTCTTTCTATGACGTTTTAAAATTTTCTTATCAGAATTCCTGTATAAAGTAGGTATTGCCGGACCAGGTTGTTAGTATGGGTTGTTGACGATTTTGTTAAGGATATGTTCTGACTTTTTGTTCTCCTAATGGAATTTTTAGCGTAGGTTTGTTCTCGGTTGGGTTGGTGAGAAAAATACAGCACAAGAATTGTTAGCCTTTATAAATTTTCGCTTAAATTTATGGGGATGTTATCTTGCAGTGCATCCCTCAAGATTTGAGAACCTAGGTCCTTTAGATACCAATGGAAAGTTTTATCTTTAACTTCTACTCTGACATGGGTATTCTGTTTTTCTTTCTTTTTGCCGAATGTCTAACATAGATACTCAAACATTTTTATGTAAGGAAATGATGTTTTGAATACAGTGGCTTATTCAGTTTGTGTTGTTCGATTATGCAGGACTTTGATATGTGCGGTGGCTCAAAACCTAAGCTTTCTCCCTCTAATAACGACATGGATAGCGAGTTTCGGAAGCAGGATTTCTATGTTCTTGGTAACATCTCAAGTCTGCTGGAGCTGTCTGCCACCGATGATCTCGAAACCTTCAGAAGGGAAGTAGAAGAGAAGGGTTCTGACGTGAACGAGGAAAGTCTTTGGTATGGAAGAAGAATCGGATCGAAGAAGATGGGATTGGAGAAGAGGACGCCTCTCATGGTTGCTTCTTTATTCGGAAGCACCGAGGTGCTGAAGTATATTATTGAAACCGGTAGAGTTGATGTGAACAGGGCCTGTGGTTCCGATAAGGCCACGGCTCTCCACTGTGCTGTTGCCGGTGGCTCTGAATCCTCGCTTCAGATTGTTAAGCTCTTGCTTGATGCAAAGGCAAGTCCTGATTGCCTTGATGCTACTGGAAATAAGCCTGTTAATTTGATTGTTCCTGCCTTTAGTTCTTCATCCAACTTGCGAAGGAAGGCGATGGAGTCGTTGCTGAGAGGTGATGAATTAGGTGGGGAAAGTCATCAAATTATCGAACAGGAGGAGGAGCAACAGAAAACTGCGGCGCCTTCTTTAGCATCAAAAGAAGCAGCAGAGAAGAAAGAATATCCTGTTGATATATCTTTGCCTGACATAAACAATGGTATATACGGAACAGATGAGTTCAGGATGTACAGTTTCAAGGTGAAGCCGTGTTCGAGGGCATACTCTCATGACTGGACTGAGTGTCCATTTGTTCATCCCGGGGAGAATGCAAGGAGGAGGGATCCACGGAAGTATCCTTACAGCTGCGTTCCTTGCCCGGAGTTCCGCAAGGGAAGCTGCCCGAAGGGGGATGCCTGTGAGTACGCTCACGGTGTTTTTGAGTCATGGCTCCATCCTGCTCAATACCGAACAAGGCTTTGCAAGGATGAGACTGGTTGCTCAAGGAAAGTTTGCTTCTTTGCTCACAAACCTGAAGAGTTGCGCCCTGTGTATGCTTCCACTGGTTCAGCAATGCCTTCACCAAAATCCTTTTCTGCTAGTGCAATTGACACAACAGTTATGAGTCCATTAGCTCTTAGCTCCTCATCTTTGCCCATGTCAACTGTGTCAACACCACCCTTGTCTCCTTTGGCTGCTTCATCTCCCAAGGGTGGAAGCTTGTGGCAGAACAAAATAAACCTCACCCCGCCATCCTTGCAACTCCCGGGTAGCAGGCTGAAGGCGGCCTTAAGTGCTAGGGATCTTGATTTGGAGATGGAACTGCTCGGGCTAGAAAGTCCGGCTAAACACCAGCAGCAGCAGCAGTTGATAGAAGAGATAGCTCGAATCTCTTCCCCATCATTCCGGAACACAGATTATAGTAGGATGGGTGATTTGAAGCCAACTAACCTCGATGACCTTTTGGGATCTGTTGATCCTTCTGTTCTTTCTCAACTTCATGGAATGCCTACTCAGCTGCAATCTCCAAATGGGCTTCAGATGCAGCAAAACATGAACCACCTTCGGGCAAGCTATCCCACCAACCTTCCTTCCTCACCGGCAAGAAATTCCTTGGGTTTAGGGTTTGATTCATCATCTGCTGTGGCAGCAGCAGTGATGAACTCCAGATCTGCAGCCTTCGCAAAGCGAAGTCAAAGTTTTATTGATCGTGGGGCAGTATCACCCCGCCATTTTGGGCAATCTACGGCCTCCAACACCGCCTGTAGGGTATCTTCTGCACTTTCAGATTGGAGATCCCCTGATGGGAAATTGGATTGGGGCATGAATGGAGATGAGCTGCACAAACTGAAGAAATCTGCTTCTTTTGGGATCAGAAACAATGGAAACACTAACGCTACTATGGCACGGTCTGAAAATTTTGAGCCAGATGTGTCGTGGGTTAATTCTTTGGTTAAAGATGCCCCCTCTGAGAAGCAGCAGCAACAATTTGATCCCAGTAGAGAGATGCTCCCACCATGGGTGGAGCAGCTATATAGGGAACACGAGCAGATAGTTGCATAAGCAATGGCTGCCATGGCAACGCTCCTTGATTATTCTGACAAAGTTTATTTATTTATTTATTTATTATTATTTTGAATTTTTATAACTATTCCACATTACATAGAGTATAGTCAGAGATAGGACGAGGAGTGCTGCAAAGAATAAAATCCTGGATATTCACAGAGATTCGAGAGGGTAGCAACTTTTCTTCTAGTTCAATGATGAGGAGAAAAATGAAGCAGCGATGCTCTTTTTACCCCCTGTAATTGTATTATCTGATTATTTCTCCTTTCTGGAAGTTTGGGTGTATTATCTTTAGCATGGAAAATTTTATCATTGCTGAAGGAGCTTGTCTGTTTTAGTCTTTACACACATCTGTACAAGTACAACTTCCGAAATCTGTGCCCTTTTCAGTGAATTATGAAGTGTCATTTATTTCCAAGAGGATGAGCACTTTTTTTTTCCTGATTGCATTCTCCTATTGCTTCTGAATCTAATGGTTGAACCAAAAACTCGGCTGCTCGTAGCTATGCTTGAGGGTTACCTATGATTCCGTCAGAAGATGAATATGAACGCCAAATCATATCGATAGAGGATAAGAGGCAATGACAATGCGCGTTGATATGATGGTAGTGACTATTACGAATCATTAGCGTGCAAATTTATGCCTTAAGAAAGATGCGGCACGTTTAATTTAAAATGAAGCAAATGGTCCAAGAACGTTTTATTTGAGACAGCCGGAAGCAGATATATTGATTTAAAATTGATTAGATTCTAACAGTTTAAATTTATTTATCTATTTTTTATCATAATATTTATTTTTATAAAATGTTATAAAATATTAAATCTGAACTATTGGAGTTTTGATCCAATAATTGTGAAAAGAAAAAGAGAGTGGTGGAGGGGAAGAGGATGGAAAGGTAGTGGAGAGAATCCAAGTCTAAGTTTTCAACCAGATCAAGTTGTGCTCGTAAGAAACGCCATTTGTATCAGAAAATTTTGTTGAATCAGCTATTTATGGATGGTTAGAACTCATAGAAGGGTGTGGGTGCGCGCGAATACCCGGATAGGTGTTTGGAGAAGAACTGATGAAGCAAGTGGGACAGATGTCATAAGATAAGGAAGATGAGGAAATTGCATGGGATAGGTAACAGCATTATTTAAAACAATTGAACCCCACCTGACCATTAAATGCATATGTCCTTTATAAATAATCCATTTGAAATTCTTGTGGACTTACTTGCTCACAATTCTCACACGCGCGCGCACCTACAAGCTGATTCAAAGGGATATAAAATCGTACCACTACAGTGGACAAAGGAAGAAAAAATAGGTGATGGGCAGAAGTTGAGGTGAAGCAAGAGGCTTCGTGGAGAGTGCGCTGGGATGGGGCAAAAAGACAGGGGATGATAAGAAGCAAAAGGAAGAGTACAAGTTTGAAACGGAGGCTCGTGTTTGTGTTGGAAAAGGTTGTCATCCAGATGAGAGGAACACGTGGGACCCACCATTTGGACGTTTGTGTAAGTTCGTCCAATCAGGAAATGAGTTGGTTTTGTTGAGTCCAGCAACCCCCACTGGCCAATGCATTAGCCCCCCCCCTTTTGAAAAGCAGAGACCGCTTTTTTGGTTTCTTCTCTCAAGCCAGCCAGCTTCCTTCCTTCCTTCCTTCCTTCATGCCTTCTTCCATTTGGTTTCCCTCCACCTTCATCGACTCACTATCCCGCACTCTGATGCTGGGAGCCACTATGTAACTATAATACTACTTTACATAATTTCTTAAGATTCTATATATAAGCTTCAAATTATTGGCCAAAAAAATATATATATATATAAGCTTCAAATTTAGAGATATGTATTTTATTTTACAACTTTCAATTTAGATTTGTTTTAATATTTAATGTATTTTTTCAATATTGTCCATAATTATTTCTTTCTTGTTACATTTCTCCACATACTTTCTTTCATTCTTTTTTTTTGTTTATTATAAAGGCACATTTGGAAACAAAAATATATTTTTAATATATTTATTATTTTTAACTACTTATTTATTATTCATAAATCAGTTATTTAAAACTTATAATAAAGCAGATGGAGCATATTGAAGGATGTCACGGTATAATATATCTTAAAAAGCACGAATTGCTTCACTATTCTCCTTCACTACCCTGGTTTGACTATACTACTTGTTTGGTTGTGCTAAAAATGATGTGACTCTAATATTTCATAAACATTTAAAAAGAATTTTTCTCTAGATGTCAGTTCACATGTTGAACAGTGTTTTTTTCAAAAGTAAACTTAATTAGTTGTCGAACTAAAATTAGAATCACAAGCATACGTAGTATTCTTTCGATTTTTAATATAAGACTTATTTAACTTATTTGATTAGATTAAGAAAGTTAGGTAAATTAGTTAATTATAAGAAATGTGACATATTTTTCTTAAAATACCATACTCATCTTTCTTAATATCTCCTATCTCTCTTTTACTTGATTATAGTTGAAGGAGTATCTATAGGGATAATTTAAAAAAAATTAATAAATATGAAAAATAGATTTTATATTTAAGATCAAAACCAACTTAATAATTAAGTCCTATATTAAGGACTGGAGGAGTATATCATAATATAATGAATGTCAGAGAATTAGTTCAGCTGTATCACTTTGACTTAAGTACATAAACTCAATATTGTTGGAATTGCAGGTTACTAACTGGTGTTAACGCAACCCAGCTGGTGGAAGAATTTCTTAGATGAGACAAATGTGACATCCCGTGCAAGTAAAGTGGATGAAGCTTCACAGCTTTCTTTTTACTGCCAACATTTTGCTTCTACAGTTGATTAGTGGCCTTTCCCATCCAGATTGATAGTTACAAAAAGCGGTCCGCACTCAGTGCTCATCAAGCGATGAGCAATCTGGGCCATTCAGATCCAATCTAAACGGTCCAGACTTAATATTTTTAAATAATTATTTAAAAATAAAAAAGATTATATTTTAAAGAATGATAATTAAGATATTATCTTTATTTTTTATCCTATATCTATTAAATTAATTATTTTAAAAAAATAAAAATAAAAATAAAATTAAATCTGGACCGTCCAGATCTAATGAGCATTGGGTACTCATCAAAACTGATGAGCACCCAATGCAAATCCACAAAAAGATTATATTCTCAATACTTCATTATATTGAGTCTTATGTATTAAATAAACTTCCTTTTTATTCTGAAATGATGAATCTTCAGTTGGGCATAATTCTCTTGGAATAATCTTGAAGCATGCCATTATCATCCATTGGAAGGATTATTTTGTACATTTGTTCTCCCATGATGTAACCAGCATCCGAGTCTACTGTGGCTAATATATTGGCCAAGTGACACCTGATACTCATTCTTAACATAAGCTGTGTATTCTTTTCCAACAATCACAAACTGGAATTCGTTTAAGGTTTAAGACCTTGTCCTTCACCCTTTTTTTTTTTTTTGAAACTGGCAAACGTTAAAACATTTGCAGATGTAGCTTAAACACATAATGTGAGCATCACAATGATGCCTGGGGTCATTTGAGCCAAAGGTTTTCAAATAAAATCCTGCCCTTATGACAAGTTCCAGGGAATTTAGACCAAACTATTTCTAATTATTATCTTTTTTTAGCATATGCATGCATTTAGCTAGCAATTTTCAATACCTTGTACATTCTGCAGACCAATTTTCTTTTGACAATGCAGCAATGCAGCATGTGCTGTTCTTTTCAACCAATACAATGACATCAATACCCCTATGCTTTTTAATGTAAAACATAATTAGCTAATTTGAGTATACTAAGGATGTTAATTAAATTAGTTAATATGATATTTTTTTTAAAACACTTTAAACATCTCCCTTAGTTCTTTCGTTCTCTCTTCTACTTGATTATTGTTAGAAAATATTAATAGTATTAATTTGAAAAAAATTGGTAAATATATAAAATAGGTCTTATATATATAACCAATATCAACTATCTAATTAGGTCATATATTAATAACCGTATGGTACTATACAATGATAAAGATTCATAACCCGCCACCCTTTTCAATACATAGTCACCTATTTGGTACATACATGAAAGAATAGGGGGGGGGGAGAAGGAGGCCAAACACTTCTCCCTTCCTTGACGGTCAAATTATATGCTAGCCCGCATGTCAAATTATACGGATCAAGTCACGGCCACCGCACGTCTGTACATGGGATGGACACAAAAATTTCTCCTTTGTAACATAAACAGGTGAAAGCTGACTCACATAGGGTTGACTTCTTTGCATGATGAGAGATCTATGCCCTAAAATTTAGGTTTTAGTAACCTTATTTAAAATAGCTACCTGCGAAGAACACCCAGTGAGTCCAGTTCAACTTTTATGAGAGTCTAGATATCCTGATTTAGATGAAGGACGGTGCATTTTGTCATATCTGCCACCATTTACGGTTTTCCATTCTCTTGGCAAGTTCTTTTGCCATTGATGCGAAGTCTTCCGCCCCACTTTGCAGTTCTTCAGTATGTTGGCTGAGCATCTAGGATGGTTTAAATGGTGAGTAGAGATAGTCAGAAAATAGGAAGACTGCATTCAGTGGGCAAAATTTCAGAAAACTGTCTGCATAAAATTTTCCAAATTTAAGTGCACCGAACTGTTTAGGGAGAATTTCATGGAGGTTTCTTCTATGGGGGAAAAGCAGCTTCTCTATAACCTAACCTGAAGTTTTTCTTGGCGTTCAAGAAGCTTATCCTTCGCAAGTGCAGCAGCTGCAGAGGCATCCTGAAAGAACTCAAGATGTCAAATATGCAATCTATAATAAATAGGACTTTCAAATTGTTCACATCTCAGATTTACCCCGGCGTTTCTGTATTTGGCCTTGATTTCCTCCGCTGTTCTCTGTCTCGGTTTTGTATCAGTGCTTGCACCCTCAAATAATTTCTGTTTGTCTGCCCCTTTTCCTTTGTTGTCAGTTCTTTTTCCTCTATCTGCAAAGCACACGTTCGTCATTCAAATGATAAAATACTTGAAGGGGAAAATGATGATAGATATACCTGTCTTGTCAATATCACTTTTCTGAGGATAGTTGACAACTAAAGGTTCGTCAATGTGAATTTGATCTGCACCAAAACAACGTGGACATTCAGACGTTTTGGTATTTGTGGCAGCGGATGATGCTTTTAGAACAAACCTATGTCAAGCTCAAATGGATCTTGCTTATCAGCTGTGGCAGAGGAAGCCTTTAAGAAGGGGGGACAGGAGAAAAGTTTCTCTAAATTTGCAGAACTATAATGATGAATTGCTTGATTTTCCTCCTCCACTTTACCCGCTTTTAGGTTCTTGACAACATTAACCAAGATACCTGGATACTGTCGCCCCTACAGCAAAAGAGATTA